ATGATCTCTGAGATCTTGCGGTGTCAGGTACATAAATGCAAATAGCGTATGGCATTTTACTCTGACATAAAACTTCTGCATTATGTTAAAAGGGCTTGGAGATGCAAATGAAGTAAGGTAATCCAGAAAAGGCTTAATCATTTTAGTGTCTGCTTATACGAGTGTAGTGCGCAGGTGCAGGTAAATGGAAACTATATATTGTGTAGATACATGGCAATATACATTAAAAAAAGTCCCAAACAGCCTTTGTTTGTTCACCTGCTGACAAAGCAAAGTGCTGTATTCATCCATGGTCCTGGTCAGGTAAACCTAACAGTTGCTCCACCAAACAACACAGTCTTTTGAAGCCTATCAGTAATAGTTTACATGATTTCCAGTAAGCATATTTCAAAAATATTTAATTTCTCAGGGCATCTGAAATAAAAGAGAATAAATAATTGTCAGGAATAAGTAAAGATTGTGTGTAAAACTGGAGGATGTATACCAATGCAAGCAGATGTAGCACACACAATCCAAACTCCGCAAAGAAAACAAATTTATATAGAAATGGATTTGTAAAGCAAAGCAGATGGATCTATTTTCAGACTGCTTCTAATGGCTCCTATTTTAGCATGTCCTAATAAACTGTAATTGGGAAAAAAGTTCTATAAACAACAAAGCATTGTGTTTCTAATAATGAAATTTATTCAGTATACCTTTAACAAAAGTTGAGTAGGCAAAAAGAGTCCATAGTTGTAGTCACATTCACCAAACCCATTTTAGTGTCTTAATGAATGTGTTGCATATTAGAAAGTGCCCACAAAACTGCATGGCTTAATCCTAGTCTGATTTCTTAAAATGTACTTACATTTAAATTAAAACAGATTTAAGATTAAATTTGTCCTTTTACTGAATGGTACTAAATTTGGTTCAATCCAAGGACTGCTTTTTCCTAAGTATCATTTTTCATGTACTAGCTAGAATACAAGTAGTGGCATTAAGGTAGCAGACTTTCTTTGCAAGGTAGATGCCTTTTTATAAAGATACCAGCTCAAAACTAAAGGGAGATTGTTAATAGGTATGCTTATTCAAGCAAACTTCTATATCATAAAAAATGAATTTTTCTAGAGATCTTAGCATTTTGTGAAGGATAAGGCTTTTTGATAACCCCTCATCTCAGGGGAAAGCAAAGAATATGAATATTGTATAGTGAATGATAGAATTAACAATGCTATTTCTCAATTTTTCTACTGACTTGATGAAGACAGAAAAATATGTACAAGACTGAAGCTTAATATATCCTGGGATTGTACTCTGAGCACGTTAGTTTGGGGAGGAAGAAAGTGTATGCACACTGAGAACAGTAAAATATTTGCTTCCCATGCTTGCAAGCAGCTAGTGCTACTTCTAAAGCACTAGCCTGTGAATTCTTATAACACAGCATTTGAATATATAACCTGAATCACTTAGGTACTGTGTAGTTCTGAATGCAGGAAAAAGCTTTGTCTCCTTAGCAGAACCCTACAGAAGATAACAGCTCTCAGTACCATTGCTGGCCAGCTCCTTGTTGTTTTATGCTCTGATGTTTTCATGTTTTATTATCACTTCAGCCTTGCAATTGCAATATGTAAGGAGTAGTAGGTATTCAGTTATGTTCAGACTGAGTTACTGAATTTATGTCTGTTGGAAAAACCTTTAATTTCACTTGTGGCAAAAAGGAAATTAATACCAATTACCTGTTGAACTATCTGAAACAGTTAAACTTAATTAGATAGTACTATTATTTATTTATAAGATAATGAGAGGACTTTAAAAATGCCTGATTTTTAAAATAGCAACATTAGTTTTAATTACGCTTTTTCTGTTGTTGAAATAAATACTGTACTCTTTAATTAAAACCAACCAAACAAAAAAGGGTGTTGAGAAGGGGTTGCTTTTGTTCTTAGTGCTGTGTTTTTGCTACCTACAAAAAGGAGCAAAGGCAGGAAGCAACCAGGAACACTTAGACAAACATTTCTAAACTGCATTTGACTGGTAATCTTGAGGTGTTGAGACAGTCACGTATGTCAAATCTCAGTATCTGAGGGGAAGAAGAACAGTCACATGAGTTTTATTGGCAAGCTAGGTTAGCTAGTTACAGGCTCGGGATACTCTGCATACAGCTGTAATGACTCAAAATATATGCTAGTCAGAATAAATAAATAGTGTTTATGGACTCTGAGAGAATCATAACATGATTTAGTACACAGAAGAATACAGTTAGTCTAGTGGTTGTTAAGACATATTTGTGGTTTTTAATCCCTGGCTATATTATTGATTGTTACCTCAGACTTTTAGTATTTCTGGAACATCTTTTTTCCACGTAGCTTTCCCTTTAGGAGTAGGGCTTCTTTAAGGGAAGAAGATAAAATGTTTTGTTTGTGCTATTTTTACTGGGGAAATCCTAGTTCCTATTACTGGAACTGTAAGAGCGTATTCAGTCTATTCTGAATTTCAGTGTAGTGTACAGCTGAGTATGAGTTAAGAATCTTAACCTGTTGTACTGGGAGCGCAACATGTTCCAGAAAACAGAAAAACATTATAATTGCATTCCCTTTCTAGCACAAGCACACTTACGCACATACACAGCATGATGTGAACATGTTAAATCTGATGACCTTTATGTAGCAAAAAGACAATTATGATGGAGCTTCTGAGTCAATTCTTGAAAAGGTCTTGTAAGAAAGTATAGCATATGTTATCAGGCCAGATGTTCTCCAAAAGCCGACAGATAAAGGTTACTAGCTTGACAAATCTTTCTCTAGATGTACAAAAACTGAAACGTGGAAATCTGTCACTTTAAGTGACTGAAATGTGGAAATCTGTCACTTTAAGTTTAATGGAAGTACAACTTCATTAAGTACATTCATGTGAAAAGAGACCTTTTCTAGCTTTTGCCAAAAAACTAGTCCAGACTCTTCTCTTGAAAATTTTTCACAGTGAGAACAATCAGCTATTGGAATAATCTCTCTGGAGAAGTGGTGGACTCCCCAACCTTGGACATTTTCAAGATTCGGTTGGACAGGGTCTTATCTAGACTGTGCTTTTGCC